TTGATAGTTGAGTTGAGTTTGAATACAATACTTATGCAATACTCAAGGCTTTGGTCGTATAATCATTATAATCGTCTCATTCTTAACGAACTCTATATTCATTAAAACCAGTTATAGAAATGCATTATCAATATATATACAATCAATTTGTTTGTATGTTTGACGAGTGAATGCAATTTTGTAGGCTAACTGTCCACTAACTGTCCGCTAACTGTCCGCTAACTGTCCGCTGTTGCAGTCTATCAATGGTTCTCTTACTGCATGTAAATGACTGCACAATATTCTGTCAATTCTCCCAAATTCTTGGGTCCAGAATATACGGTCTAAGCAGACAATGGCATACATTGAGCCATACAATGAGTCATTACATGTCTAACCCATCACTCGTTTAACACACCTTTTCGCGCATTACAGTCAAATGTGTTGTTCATTGGATCAGTTGGGGTGAGGATCAGGTGAAGTGATGCATATGAATACAGTAGTCTACAAGTTGTTCAATAGTGTGGTGTTTGGTATGCACTGAATGTATGGTCCCTTTAAGAGTAGACCTCATGGCAGAGTGGGTGTCATCACCGGTAGATGTGTTTACGGTTGCATTAGTGCCACAACTGACCGATGATTTAAACTTTAAAGAGACACTCATTCAGATGAGACACTCCGAGGCTTATAGTGAATGCAATTTCTGTGATAAGCTGTGCATCGGGTCTAACCGTTTGGCTCAACGTTGACTCCAAAAGTGAGAAATGAGTCATAAATAGAGTATATTTGTGGAGAATGTGTGTAAAAGTCGTAATGAATGTGAAGTGAAAACAAATAAAAGTCAATAAATACTTTCGTTATTAATGGCCGCACTTTTGGTACCTTTGAAAGCGTGCGTCGACTGTCGATAGCATTGACACAGCGTTACGAAGCATACTTCGTGCTGTGACAAGTGTTGTGGTGACAAATGATATGACAAAAAGTACTTAATGTGCGGAAATGGTGTTAATAGTGTTTTAGTGCAACAAATGTGAAGGCATTTCAATACTTTGCAAAATAGCATACTTCGTGCTGTGACAAGTGTTGTGGTGACAAATGATATGACAAAAAGTACTTAATGTGCGGAAATGGTGTTAATAGTGTTTTAGTGCAACAAATGTGAAGGCATTTCAATACTTTGCAAAACTTATGTTATGATTGCAGTACTCAATGCATTGGCAGAGTGTGTGACTGTATGTTAGTGTTATGTCTGTCTGTGACTCTGTATTATCTGTGAAATGAATGGATATGTCCTTCGAGCAGATGGTCCTCACTGTGATCACCACTAATACCATTCACTGCAACCATCATCACAGTTATGCCTCCCATTTGTCCCCAATTCATGGTAAGACCTAACCTATACTTACCATCACTTGCATCGCCAATGTATGCATCAATTGATTTCCATATTATTGTAATCATATTATTGTCTAATCTATACATTCAGTCGTTCAGTCATTTGTGATTGACTTTCAATTCAATGCTAATGACAATTGAGATCACAATTCAAATTTGCGACAAATAGCTCTCGATTTACATTTTATTTCACATCTTATTATCTATTTATTGTTAAATGTTTTGATTAAATAAATTAGACTTTTTTGTCATTTTAGTTATCATTAGATTTCTAGTTTTTGTCAATTAATGTCTCGTTTTTATGATATGAGTGTATATTTAGTTGTCTTTTGTTTCTCCAAAATAGATATAAAACACAATTTTTGATGGATTTGTCCGAAACTCAAGTGAATATATATTTGACACATAATTATTGCATTCAATTGAAACGTTTCATTCATTTGGATATGAATTGAAGTTTTTGTTTATATTATAATAACATTTATAATAACTGTTGGCGTATATGAAGAGATTTAGAAATTATATATATTTTCACTGAACTCTGTATTGAAACGAAAGTGCAATTTATCTCATCAGTGGTTTTCAATCATATGTTCAGACATTTGGTGGGAACCGATCGCTTAAGACATTGATAATTGGTTTTTGAAATATATTTTTTGCCATTCAATACATAANAAAGCAATTATTATTATTATTGTTGAGAAGATGTCTAAATTAAGGCTAATTATCACCAAATTATTATTATTTGTTATTTAATGTCAATATAATTGCTGTGAATTTAGTGTTAAGTTTTGTTTGTAGTTATATTTGCCAATTGTTTGAGCCTTTGGTTTGAGTAGAGATTGATTACATACACACACGTGAAGAGTGAAGACCACATGAATGATATGATGGAGTCTTCGGCGGCAATAGTGCCGCAAATGACGGCTCCGTCGGTGTCCGCACACTCGGCCCAGTCGTCGGAAGGGTGCGTCGCCTCCGAGACCACCACTTCAGTCAATACAAGTGCCAGTGCTGTCGACCCCTACAATGGACTCGACTGCCAGACCAACGACTCCCTCATGATTTCATTCAATCCCAATAATAACCAATTGTTGAATACATTGATTGCTGGCAACAGCTATAAGACCGACGAAAGTCTCGCTGATCGCCAGTCAACACAACTCACGTTTTCCGATCTGACGCCTCCTGTTCCTAATATATCGACCCTCGAGTCCAACCAAATGAGTCAATTGATGCCACCCACAGACCCCTCTCAGCCCACATTTGATGGCGTGTCGGGTGCCGTACCGGACACACAGGTCTGACACTAACTATACTATGTTTTTAGATATTTTACACATTTTTGCATTATTTATACCAAAGTCTTGTGTGTCGACGGCATTGACATTGAATTTAATAGTTTGTAATTAAATGCAAATTCTTTCCTGTAATTTGAAAATTGACGAAAAGAGAGACATTGAATGCCTTTTATATTATTATTATTACTATTTATTACACATATTATTGACTCAAATATCATATCTTATCAAATCATAGATGACTTCAATTGCGAGCGAATCGCCACAAATCGAGATTCCCAACAATGAGCCCATCATACCATCGATGGCCCCCAAGAACTCATCCATAATGGAGTCCATGGAGTCAATGGAGTCCGTCGACGATAATCAATATTCAAATATGTTTCAGCCGGTTATGAACGGTCCGTCGGGTTCAGCGCCTCAAACGCCGGCGCCCTCTCCCATAGCGGTCATGGAGTCCAATGTGAACGCAGCCAACAATGCGATGAATTCCCAGATGACTGTCCTCTCGTCGTTCGTCAACACCACTGTTGCCACTGATATGTATAACAACCAAATGGTTCCAATGGATCCAATGAACCAAATGGTTCCGGTGCTCAACAATAATGATAACAACAATGTGTCTCAAGTGAACGTGTCATCCGAAGGCACACTCCCTGTCCTTAGCTTAGACCCAGCACTTCAGGAGCAACTACTGGATGCCATACCACCGCCGAGTGTGAACTTCCCTCCCGGACCAGTGCCTACCGATGAGCAGGGTATTCCAACGGCCCTTCCCGGGGAGTTTCCAATGAGTTAGTATTGAATTACTTTCATATCTGATATTTATTTATATATTTTTAATTAAATTTATTTAACGTTAATTCAACTCCATTTTAGTGAAGTTTTTAGTATCGAAACAATAATAAGTTTAGAGTTTAATAACATAACTGAGAATTAGTTTTTCAAAAATCCAAATGTTTTGCAAATAAGTCTATTAAACACTTGCCGTCAGTTTGTGTTCACTACTGAAATCAGTATTAAATTATTTTTTGCCTCAAATGAGTGAATATTTTGCAAAACATTTTCCCAACTCTTTAGCGATTAGTTTTGTAATTAAATTTAATTTTCTTGCCGTTTAATGGCATTTAGTATTTTTGCACAAATAATTGTGTGTTTCGTTAGTCAATGAACTATTGATTTAATAGAAAACATGTTTTTAATGAAAACTAAAGGTTTACTACCAGTTGAAGAGGAAAAAGTCGGTGGCATTGAGTCGGCATCTGTTCCGTTGGATAAAATCGAAGCCACCATTAATATGAACTCGAAATCCATTCCTACGCTTACGAACGCTGTATCCCTGTCTCAGTCCGAAGTCCATCTGATTAAGAGTCTGCCACAACCCATACCCGCACAGACGTTGACCACACTGTCGGACACTTCCAACGCCTGTCTCGACGCTCAACAGTTTAATCTCAATTACGACCACCAGTTGACCGATACTTCTACCCAATCGGTCTACTCGACTGCCACTGATGTCCAACAATCGCAAGCCCTTACATCCACTCAATCACAGCCCACTGTAGAGACATCGACTGCACAACAGCAGCAGCACCTCCACCACCACCAACAACAACAGCTTCAACAGCAACAGTCAATACCACAATCACTTCCTCTACAACCACTTCAACCGCAACAACAGTCACAACAAGTTCTTACAACAGATCCGTCAATACAACAGCCAATAGTGTCGGCGTCGTTGGGTAATGTTCCCGAAGGCCAGTTACCACCGGCACCCGCACCACCTTCTGCTACATCTATAACTGTGTTTGAGTCGACACCCAATGAGTTAATGCCTGATATTGTAAATCAGAGTCACTTATCGAGTGGTTTACCGCCACCACCTCCTCTACAGCCCGTGCAGAACGTGAGCCAATCAACGCTGCAATCGATGCCAGAGATGAATACATTAACTAATTTGGTTCCTGTGGTCGAAACCAGCGATCCATTGATACACCAAACATGTCGTCAACCCTTATCCGTAGTCATCAAAAGCGAACCCCAATCTTACAACGAGACTATTGTGAACAACGGCACCGACCTATTGATTGGTATGACGAAAGTGAATGACGACAATAATAATCCGATTCTTAATAACCGCGAGAAGAACCCCATAACCACTCGAGCGCCCACTCTCGTCAACAGTCAGGTGCGAGGCTTTCCCTTATGTGTCATATCGACGGCACCGACACACCTGATGTCGAAAAATAACACTACAATCGTTGCACCGAAATACGAGTTAACACTACCTCCGAAGAAAGCAAAGTACGCCACACAAGGATTAGTGTCAGTCACGCAGCAGTCGATACCATCGCTCTCATCAAAGATGTTGCCCTCAACGCAGGCGTCGGCCGTTCCGTCCACTGGAATGATATATGATCTGCCGCTCCATCAGACACACCACTCATCCCATTCTTCGACCACTTTTAGAGTACAACCAGAACTGACTCAACCCTCAAAAGCACAGCACAGTATGTGATCAGTGATTGCATTTGTATGGTTACACTAAATGTATTTGTGTTTCAGATATGACTCCCCCGTTCACAACAATGGCTCCCATCCTATTCTCTGGTCTCATGCCATCCGTTTCGGTTGCAATCGATGGCCCGCTTTCTCTCGTCAAAGAGGAGAAAATGCGTCAATTGATTACAACGACTGCGATAACCAATCATCCGGACTACCCGGCCATCTCTGGGCTCTTGTCATTCATCAATCCGTATCACAAAACGACCGCCACTTCAGTGACTACCGGTGTGGAGACACCACTGTCCCTAAGCGTGAGGAACAGTCTGACTCAACCACCCGTTACGGCCAACCCATTGACTCAAAGCCACTCATCAGTGACGCACTCGTCACACGTGCCTTCACTGACTCGTCCACCACTACATCACAATCAAAGCATAACGTCTGCCACTACTTTAGTGCCCACACCGCCGACCGCCGTTCCCGTCTCTGTGGTCACGAGTGTTGTCGACCAGAATAGAGGTCTATCGCACCAGAGGATCAAAGGCATCGGTCAGAACAGTACCAAACATAGACTTAACGTCGACCACAACACTTCTGGTATGCGTTATAATTACACTCTATTAGTGATTGAATTGATTGTCATGTTTATGACGTCCCATAGGGTCGACTGGAGTGAAGCTCCAATTGGCGCCATTATTATCTGGAGATCCGGCCAAACCCTTTCAGTGCGCTCTTTGTGGCAAACATTTGGCCTCAAAAAATGTCTATCAATTGCATCTGCGCTCACATTCTGGTGAAAAGCCATTCACATGTAATTTATGCGGCCATTCGTTCTCGCAGAAGACATCACTCACTCGCCATATGAGGTCACACACCGGCGAACGTCCCTTTCCCTGTCAGGTATGCACACATATGTCACACATAGATGTGTGGTTCAGAGAGTGCTCACAATTGTTTCACTTGAAAGGTGTGCGGAAAGAGATTTGCAGATAAGGAGCGGATTAAGATTCATATGCGGACGCATACCGGAGAAAAGCCATTCGCATGTGACATATGCGGCAAACAATTCTCTCAGGTTTTATTTGCCAAATGTTTGCTTTCTTATAGTATATTAACTGTCATTTGTGTCAAATTTGTATAGAAATCAACGGTCAAGCGTCACATGTCTGTCCACACTGGAGAGAAACCGTTCAAATGTGAGACGTGCGGCAAAGGGTTCGCAAATCGTGGCAATCTGACGGCACACACGAAAACGCATTCAAATTCTTAACACTTGTTATGATTTTCTAATTTTTGATTTTCAATTGAAACTAAGGTTTGATTTGAGTTGTTATTGTTTTTTGTTAGAAACTCATTGATTTAATGAAAGATTAGATATACGGTATAGTTATATTTTGAGTTACTATAAAAGCAAAGAGAAAATTGCTTTAAAATTATTTCAATTAAGTTTGTGTTTTGAATCATAAAGAATTGTCGCTTTTCTGTTATACCGCTATCGCTATGTCGTGGGAAACATAAGTGCTATTCGGAGATAATCTCAGATTATGTCACAAATTGGTACTGTTTTTCGAGCCTAAGTGATAATCGGTAAATGTCGGCATTTACGGTATAGTTATTTTATAACAAATCTGTTGTAGAAAATCATAAAACTCTAACGGAATTCTAAAATGATGTTTATTTTTCTCTAAACTATGATTTATTAACAAATATAATGCTTAACTTCAATCAATTATCAATTCGGAATCAATTAAAAATTAAGTCAAAAGTATACAGAGTTAAGTAAATGTTTTAAACATTGTACTGTATGTGAATTTACAACAGAATCTGTCTATTTTTCAATCAGATTTATGCAAATGATTTGTTAATAAATGATAGTTTTATGTAATTTAAAATCAATATCTAGTTGATACCAATTCAAGTCATCGTTTTATGATTTTCTTAACAAATTTATAGTCATTACTGAAAAACAGTCTAAAACTAAAAGAAAATTGTAACGAAAGTGAGAGTTATTTAGTTGACGTTTCTATTGATCCGAATTGATGCCTTCAATACAATTTAATATACGGTATTAAATCAATTGCTGAAGAGTTTAGTGTAAAGCATAATATTTGATGAGTTTTTATTATATCTGAAATCATAACAATCTATTGAAAGAGAAAATCAAAGTGTTATTCAAAATATTTTTGCACTCAAACTCTTAACTATAGTTTCACAACAGAGATCATAAGTTGTTTGACTCATATAATCGCTTATACTCTCATTAACTATTCATTTAATTAACTATTAAATCATTTACAAAATCAATATATATTTACTATAATATTATTAATGAAAGAGTAAAACAAATTCATTATAAGATTTCTAATTATATGTGAAATATATAAATATATTAATTGTTGCCTAAACTCAAGAATACATTTAATACAATAATCTTATATTTGGAAATATAATTGTTAATTGCATTATTATATTATCTTACATAACAATTTCGTATCGTATACTATGAAAACAAACTTAAAAATTATAATCAATTTGAAACAAAAAGTTTTTGTATTTTAACTAAATATACGAATGATTCAAAAGTGCCGTAAAATATAATTCTTATGTAAAGATTATTCTGTATATTCTGTTGTATTGGAATATAATGAATGTTATGAATCGGTTTCCAATGTTTATTATTATGAATATAATATATTATTATACAGTATATTGATATAACATAAGAGTTACTATCAAAATGTGAAACGAAATTGTTTTTATAACATGTTATAACTACTTTTAATGATTAGTTTTTTAGTTTATAATTATTGAATACTGGATTAGGTATTGAAATGTTAATTACGTGAAAGTCATTGAATAGTCTGTTAATTAATTGAGTATAAAAGTTGTCATATAATTGAAAAGAGTGTGAATATATTCATTGATTAGTGAGAATATATCAATTCAATTAAAGCCCTAGTCTTGCTTATTATTGTTAATAAAGTTATAAATACTTTAATTTATAATCAATATTTTTTATCAAATTATGAAAATCCATTCATTTATCAGATTAATTATATTTTTGTGCACATATTAGTCGATCGATTCAATGATTACCTCATTTGTTAATTCTTATTAAATATTTAATTCATGATTTTGGTGTTAATTTGTAGTAAAATATTACAATTAAACGCATGTTTCCAGAAGTGTCCCCAAAATACACGATTATTATATCCAAAAGAATAGTTTATAAATATATTTCATTTAATTTGTTGTTATTTTTAGTTAAATATACATAATAATGATTTTGTAATTAAAGATATAAAACAGAAATGTTTATGAATGAGGAGCCGCTTAACTGTACATATATTTTATAAGATAGAAATTTTGCACACATTTTATGACATTTGATTTGTTGCGAACAGATTTAACAGACTATGATATATATTATTTTAATTTTATTACATCTTTTGATTATTATTTGTTAATTCCATTAACTAATTGTCCATTTATTTAGTGATAAGAAATATATAAATATATAAGAAATGAATAAATGAATGAAATTATTATTTTGTCCAAAAAATCGTCTTTTATTGTGTCGGAGATATATATATATATATATAACTTATATATGTATATATTTGCGATACGGATGTATATTTGAGGTAAAGGTAATGTATTTGACAGAATATGAATATTATTATATTTAATAAAAGTTTATAATCTGAAGTTCAATGTAAATAACTTGATATTAAAACAACAAAAGGACTTAACGACCGTAATATTCATTTAATTCATAACTAATATAACCTTTTGTTTGAATTGATATCGAGAGCATACACTGTAACTCCAATTGGTTTGCTTACGACAAACACTTTGAAAATCGCTTTTAAGTGGTTTCGTGTCAGTTATGCCGAGACTTTGTTTGTCAAGTCATCAATAAGTATTGAAATCAATTAATAAACACAACATTTGGCTTAATTTCAACACTTCTAATGGATTCTCGGATTATTGCATAATTTGCGGCAATTCTTTATTATGAACCAAACAATAGTTAACAATATTTCTATAAAAATATACATATATTTTAAATGCCAATATTTGGTGTTATTTACAAACTATACATAATTTAATGAATTTGTCGAACAATTAGATATGATTTTATAGAAGAGATCTCCTCTTTCTTCCCGGATTCCTAATACTACTCTTCATAAGCTTCTGTGCCTTAGCCTCCCCTCCCATCTCATTCCACTCACAGTCAGCCCCCGGCAGACCTCCGATCGGCGAGCAGTCCACTCCTCTCTTGTGGGCAGATATGGCTTCCCCTGTCTTCCTGTAATTCATTCAAATAAACATCAATTCATTATTCATATTCTCATAAGAATTTATTTGAAACGTTTAAATAAACTTATTTTAATATCTTATTAATAATATGATAACAAATATATCAAATATGAAATCCCCAATTTATTAAATTAATATAGTAATCTTAAAACTATTTATTGAAAGGTTTTCTATTATATATTCATGATATATATCTAAATTGTTACAAATCTTTGTTAAAAATATAAATTTTTAAATTATATTAAAACCAATGATCAATGTCGAATCCACTTATTTATTGAATTTAAAAGTGGACTCATATATCAGAAATTTGCGATTATTTTTATTTTATTTAAACATTTAATTTATAAAAATATTAATTTTTATTTTTTATTTGCTTTCGAATGCTTTATTGAGCCAAATGTGAGCCAAAATCACCTAAACATTAGGCATTAGGTTCTCTAATAGGATCCAAATCTGTAGTCATTATCGCAACCGACGCCAAACATAACACATTTAACACTTCTTTTACCGGGATTTCTGTGAACCTCTGTTACGGGCGGACCCACGTCTACATCACAATCACCGCCAGGTATTCCTGTGATACACTTCTTCCTCTTCAGCCGTAAGCCCTCACTCTGAGGACCCCTTTTGATAAAATGGCAAAATATAGTCACCTCTATATACTCCTACGAACAGAATCGCTAGTATTTGAAAGCATCTGGCACATTGTAAGAGGATTCACGCAATTTTATATTTCAAACATTACAGGAAACTTTTGCTTGTCTACAGTATATTCCTGTATAAAACACTATTTTGTTATAATTATAATAATAGGCACTCCTTCCTATTCTATACTATTCCCTGTATTGACATTAATGAATTAAATTGTTAATAATTTAAAGGGAGTATAATTTATTTAAAATTTTATAGTATTCTTAAATAAGTATTTGGACTAGATTGTTTAGTATAGTATTTGGTTGGACACATTTGTATTGTAAATAGCATCAAATGAATACCAATATTCACACCTTACGCTCCTTTTGCCGGGATTTCTGTTGGGAATGTAAGCCCAATCACCCAAATCGCTGGTGCAATCACCGCCCGGTAATCCACTCAAACATCTCTTACTGTCTGACTTATACTGAATATTACTATAATCTCTTTTTATTTCCATTGCATCCCTTTCCATTTCGTTTAAAAAGAGATTATTTTAAATATATATATAATAATTATTATATATTATATAACTATTATATATATATAGATATAATAGTTATATTGAAAAGTATTACTAATATTGTCACTATTAGTAATTTAAGTACTGTATCATAATACCTATATTTAAGAAATAACTTTCGCTATATTCTAAAGAATCTAAAATAAACTATTCATTATATTAATACAATTTTAAATTACAAAGTTCTGTAAAGTAATCATAAACATAAATCTAAAATATTTTACAAACGTTCAAATGGGTTTATAAATTAAATAAAATTATACTTTTCTTTTCTAATCAATTACTTACTCTATATTTTCAAGACTTCTGTCCAAACGGTTCAACACATTCATCACATATTTAATACTTTCTCTTCTGTTGTCGATCCCCTGAATTACATCATTGCTATACAAACCATAAGAATGTATAGAATATTCTTATTTATAAATCTTATTATCTTAAAACAAAACAAATATAAAGTTATACCGAGTTTTAGGCGATTCATTTGAATCAATCTGTGATGAAATGTAATTAATAAATGTAAGTAATAGCAAAGCGTTCAATAGATTGGAAACTGAAGTCATGATTAATATATTGATGTAATAGTAGTGTGTTTTGTGAGACAACTTAACGGGAAACACAC